ACAGTGGCATATCACCTGACAGATGTGTCAGACAGCCACGCCTCCAGCATTATTCGCGTGCGCGTAGCAACTAAAGGCCATGGTTCGCCTCTCTGAACGGTCAGTTTATGCTCGATTATTCGCGAGCTGAGTCGTCCTGGCGCCCCCTCGAAGAATGTCTACCTTTCGGGGCCATTCGCTTGGCTAAATAAGAAATCGAGGTATCTTCTGGGGCGACGACTGGCCGCCGGAGAACTTTGGACTTGTGATTTTGGGTGATACATAGGGCCGATCCGGTGTTATATACTGTCATTTGTCACACTGTTGCATCCGAGTCGGATTAGGAGTTAAGTTATCTAGCCGATCAACGACATTCCTACGAGAAAGGCGCAGATTCGCAGGAGGTTTGATAGTTAGGGTGAGCATGTGCCTCCCCATTGTACTTGACACGATCCCTTACGATGGCTATGCTTCCCCTAGCAGCTTTTACTACTACATAATTCTTGTCCATTTTTAATTTCTTCCCCACTGATGCCTAATAGGCAGGCTGATATTATGTCATCCGACAGCTAACACGCGTATCAGAATCACGTAGGGGAAGGGCCGTCTGAATGCAGGTGTGTAATTGGACGCAGTTTATCAAAGTACACGCAACAGCTGCCCCTGTCATTATACAGGCGAGATCGAAGGACAACTCGGCTCCCGAATGTCCGACCACAAGTGGGCCGTTCGGCAATGCGACCCACAGCCTTAAGTCACTACTCACATACTGGAGGAAAGTCAAGAGTTCGCCTTCGCGAGCACGCGATAACGGCACGAGGCGGAAAGAAGACGGAGCGGGAATGTCTGAAGGCGTGAATGTCCGAAACCGAATTTCAAATACACAGATCTGATCCCTCCTGTCATGTGATACGCCTAAGTAGTCAAGTGGCATAGCCCTCTTTTCGTTCAAGGATGCCCGGCATCACCACATGAGTTGGGCGGCGTGAATCCGGCCCAGCCACGAGTATCCCTCACTCTCGTTTTTCTCCCCTTCATTATAAGTTGCCTATGAAGAGGTTAAGGTGTGGTTCCATTCTTTTAGTCTCCAAGCCTGTACTCCCATAGGAGTTTGGAAACTCAGATTAATAAAAATACTCTTTCAGTGATTGCGTCCTCATCTTCCTTGCCAAGGAAGACAAAGCAACTAAGATGTCATGGTGACTGTTAGGATGATTGTTGTAAATTTATACTTCTAAATGTTCATTTTTTACCTACAGGATGAATATATATACTCGCTTTTTGCGCCTAAAAGATATCTAATCGAAGTTATTTCAAAACATTTACCTAACAAATTAGAAATTGTACGAGATCTTCCAAAACACATTCAAAATGACATCCTCCGGGGCCACTGATAAACAATTTTGACGTCGCTTTATTAATAACTTTCTAGGTGTCTTCGTTCCGTGCTCAAGAAAATACGTGCATGAAGAATTTTCACCAGAGTTCTTTCGTAGTGTTTATTAAATGGAGTTTTGGATTTCTGAGGAAGTTCGTTGAAGTGAACACGAATGACACATTTATATTTCGGGCAAACTTATCGTGAGTATTTCATAAACGTTTTGTGTTCACAAAAGAGATACGCCGTACATGCGGCAAAGGGGGGGCGGTTTAGTTTATGGAATGCCGTGATGTGATAAACTGTCGGTCGACTTAGAAACCGAAGTCTTCGACACTTGACGAATCGAAAACAATGGATGCAGTAGCGTCTTCCTCCCTTTCACAATCTAATCCACTTTGCAAGAATTAACGTAGAGCCCGCCGGTCAATTGTTAAGGCCTCCACCGACCTCGGGAGTGTTTGCCGTTCAGAATTGAAGGGAACAGGATCAAGCGCTGCTGTTCCGCAGATTTGTGGTTGCCCCACCAAAGTAGCATCCGGTGTTTGTGGTCGGTTGTGGCCAAAGTGCTCGCTCTCAAAGCTCAGCACGGGCAACTCACGGCTCTGTCCCCCCAGGATAATGGATTCTGGAAACCGCGGCATGGTCGAAGTATCGTAGGTTTCGGAGAAATGACGACTTGTGCCGTCGAGTCCGTAGGGGCGCTGACCGAAGGTGCTGACAGTAGTGCTGAGGCTGGTAGGTCGATTAGAGGTTTTGAAAGTGTCCGTCGATGTCATTCGGCGCCCATAACCCAGTTTGGTAAGACCGCCGAAGTATCCTTGAGAGACAAGCAAAGATAGAATGGTTGAACGGGCTAAATAATCTCTGAAAACGGTAATTTAATTCTACTTTCAAACAACAGCTGATTGAGTATTTTATTAATTCTCGGGTTAATACCACTCTCATTGCTGTTGATACAGTCTCCCTTTTACCGGTAAACTGCCCACGCATACACCAGAAATGGCCTGCTAGAAAAGGGGATTTATGTTCGAAAACCATATAAAACATACTTAAGTTACAGTGATATTGTCGCTTAGAGCGGTATCTTTAACTCTAGGGAAAATAAAGACTTCTAGCTCCAAAAGAGCCAACGATGAACTTGGCCTGGGCCTCTAGCGGCCTGCGACATAATCGTCATCTGTTTGTCAAGACGTCTTCTGCCAACGCCTCGGTATCTGAGCGGGCCAGGTAGTTCAGTCCTTTAGGTTCTTCGAAAGTGTGCTCGAGATGTTGAAAAGTAGTGTCGGTGCAAATGCGTACGTTACTTAGCCGAGAGTGTTCGGTATTCGTCTGCATGCCTCACCTCGTCACCACTCCCCACCAGTGACATCCATCGACTTGCAGCCGCGGCCGGATTACCCTAGGCCAGCTGCTCGCTAATGAGACAAGAAGCACCTTAAAACTATTCCTTAGCTTAAAGTCACCTCATTTTCAAAGGAATGAGTGCTGCCATTCACAATGGCAGGGAAGTATGGTAAACATTTTGAGATCTCTCCTACTCTCAATTAGAAATGTTCAAAAAACACTGCCTGCTTTGAATTTTCTGCCTAGTTTTTGACTTATTTCTTCCGCACCATTTGGAAGGACAGTACATAACCCACAACGTGTTCCTAAATATCCACTATGTCTAGATCTGGTAAACCAACATTCCGTCATCAAGCATTACGCATTCTGCCGACATTGGAGTTTCGCATTAGACCAAACAAACGCGCATGCATTAGTAATCCCCAGCGGTCAATCAAAACTGTTTTGCCAAGCGTGCATTTGACAAGGCGCTATCATTTTTGTCTTCAGTTGTCAACCGATCAATTATAGCGTACTAGCCGCCTATTATCGCTGCTGACTTTTGCCGGTCCATTTCAGGGAGCTAGGGTGACTGACAAGGCTGAACAAAGAACCACGGACGTCCAGAAATATTCTAGAAAAGTGTCTGCAGATCGCACGGGATAATAATTTTAGGGCAAAAGTCGCCCTAACTTAGAAAAAACACATCAAAGGGAAAATAAAATTTTAGTGATGAGTTTATGAAGATAAATACAGTACGCGCCAGAATTCGTGCATCATGCGGACATATGCGAAATATTGATAATCCTTCGCTAATCGACATTGACTCAGGTTGTGATACGGATTATCACGTAGTCTATTTTGAAGTTATTTCAGTCATGATAGGATGCGAGCTTTTTAACGAGATTCGTTCTGACGTAACGAAACGTATGAACTGTAAAAAGTAATGACCTAAATAGTATGCGTTTTTATCATTGATTTTGACTGCCCTTATAAATTCAAACATATTTCATGGAAAAAAATGCATGGAAAAATTATTTCTTGTACTCGTTTGGTGGGAAATTACGCCTTCTTTAAATATTATAATTAAGAAAAAGCACCTTTCGGTTTAAAATAATGTTTATAAATAGCTGAACAATTTTCAAACCTACTGACTGCTACACCAGAATTCAAGGGTTACAAACTACGCACTGTGTAAATCTTGTTTAAGGAAAAGTACGTTTTTTCCTACGGTTTGAGGAAGCAGTAACACAGTTCTCATAAAATGTTGCAACAGATGTGGAGCATGCTTTATACGTTATAGGCAGCATTAATAAATTGACGGATATGATGCATTATGAATGAACACCTTACAATCGTAAGAAAGCTCATAGTTAGAATTTTTTCTAAAACCGACGGATACCCTTTCTCTAAGTATAAAAGTTAAAGAAGGCGTAATTTTCTACCAAATGAGTACGAGAAATAACTTTTTCGTGCATGTTTAAGGGCAGCCAAAATAAATGATAGAAACGCATACAATTTAAGTAGTAAAGTTTTGCAGTACATACGCTTCTTTAGTGGTCAGAATGAAGCTCGTTAAAAAGCCCGCATCCTATCATGACTGAAATAATTTAAGAATAGACTACGTGATAATCCGTATCACAACCTGAGTCAATGCCGATTAGCGAAATAGTATCAATATTTCGCATATGTCCGCATGTTGCACGAATTCTGGCGCGTGGTGTTTAGGTGAGGCTACGCATTACTTGTAATTCTTGTGCCGTTTCGTTGGATTAATGAAGAGTTACTTTGCTTGAGCGTCATTTTGTTTTACTAGGACTAAGGGAATTTTATTTGTATGGCTGACAAATCCACCTCAAATATCTCATGCACACGATGAGACTATACCTCAGGAGAGCGTCAGCACCAAATTAATTAACCTTCAGTTTAGAACTATTAGATTTGAAACAAAAAACACCTTCAAAGGGCTCAAACTATTAGAGGGGTTGATATGTTTTAAGTTGTTCAGCATGTCTTAAAGACTTGACTCTTCTAAGAAAAAAGTGAAATCGAGCTGTTTTACTTCACTAGCAAAAAAAATCCGCCAAGTAAGCAGCCTGCTTTTTGATTAGTGTTCGATTTTCGTGCGCCGTTAATTACTTTTTAAAGATAAAGATACAATTTTGGGTTTACGAGGGATCCTAATAAAACCACTAGAGGTTATCGATGGCGAAAATTCAGCAGCAAGCTAAGAAACAGAAAAGTATTTAAAAAGCTAGGTTTTGTTTCTTCAGAGGTAGAGATGTGTTCCGGCACAGTGGAGTCAGTCAGAAAAACAAATAGGGTCTAAAAAAGGCTGCGGGGGCGTTTGCTAGGATAGCTGGTGAATAAACTGGATGTTTATTCAGTAAAGGAGGCCTTAAAACTAGGCCTACACCCCTTAGTAGTTATTTATTAAATTTTTAAATTTACAGCCTCCCTGATGCCTTAACTTTAGAATTCGATAGAGTTTTTTTTCGAAATTACGAGAAGCTGACGGGCAACATGGGCCATTTGAGGTCTGCCAAGTGAAAAAGAGTATAATACCTAATCTCGGAGCTCCACCCGAAGGGGGTTTACGAAGTAAAATAGAAGATATCGTCCAGAAAGTAATGATCACTGGGGCTAGCGTATTGTACAGCAAGCTGTGCGATGCAGGTAGTAAATATTGACCATCTTTTTGTCTGCCGACAGATATGCGAGACCTCCCTTCCTATGCCCATACCTTTGCTTATTACAGTTTAATCACCATCTCCAACAAAAATTGTTCGACCTTTACCTTGATCAAAGTCTGGCATAGCGAACCTATACCTACGATTTGAATAGAAATGACTAGATCCCGCTCACCATCATATAATGCATTATTTTCATAGAGTCATTCTAGTATTCCTCGTTTATGTCTGTTCTCAGATTTGACTGCTGATTACTTATATCATACAACCGTCCACGAAGGCGCGGAATAGGTGCTCCAAATCAAAAGAGAATGAGCGACTCCTGTCGTGCAGGTGAGTTGGAAAAGGATCTCTAATGCCGTTGTCTTCCGGATTAATCAAGTGTGCCCATTTCGATTTCGTCACACCCAGAATGCTACACATGTACGCTTTTAAAGTGACGAGGTTTACAATTCCTAAATATCCACCTATGTTTAAATTCAAAAGAAAGTATTGAGTGATCGGTGAATCATGAATTCTTTTAATATTATTTTATTCCTTTTTTTGAGATGCTGAATTTCTTGAAGTATGCTCCGAATGGTCAATGGAGTGCGAGGCACATGTACTCTTGCGGGTAGAATAGACGGTGGTCCGATTGGAACCAAATCATTTGACAACAGATACATCAGAGTTAAACTCTATCAGAACGTTATCAGGGATAGAGACCATCTACGCGATCTTCCATTCGTGGGTAAAGGTAAGAGTTCGGTAGTTTTTGTATTTTGACAAGTAATCAACACGTAAACTTGCATACTTACTTAGAGGTGACCTTTATTGCTGAAAGACACTTGCTTATAACTTTAACCAGCATATATATATTAGAACTCGCCAACATAGCGTTTGTGTGGGTGCATCCTGTTTCAGTAACACTATAGAGTATCAGGTGGAAATTATAAGATGTAAGTGGTAAACCATCCCCTAGCCCAACTGAAGACGTTCAGAGCTAAATAATATTTCACTCAAACTGAAACAAAAATAGCAAAATAAAACACTTTTTATTCAAAATATTGATATAATTAGTGAATCTCAGTTCAAAGCATCATGGTTATTCAGGGAAACATGTACAAGATCTAGCTGTCCATTTGCTATCTTTTTATTCAAGGAGTAAAAAGGCATATATAAGCTACTGAGATGGTTCAATTGTCACCGTCGGATGGGTTTGATGAGCTGGGTTACGTCAAGCCGATAGAGGTCAATTTAACTGTCTGCAACAGGAACCAGAATAAATTTCCGCCTTTCTCTGCTAGCAACATATCCCATTTTCTAGACTGATCCCTAAATCAGTTGAACGGACGAGTGCCCTTCGCCCACATTTTAGGCATTATTTTACGAACAAAGTAACAAGATTCTAATCAGTAAGTTGATCTGGGAAAAAACTGTCACAGCCCCGAGAGGAAACTCGGACTAATAGTCAAGAACACCGCCTTAATCCATTATAACCGTTGACAACAAACGTTTCTACATTTCAGCATCATCTACGCTTCCCCCAAACTATCTCCAACATGGTTAATTTGGCCGGATATTGTTTGCGCTATTATGTTCTCTCACGCCCGACTGGTACAGTTGAATTTTAAGTAGCGAATTCCCTGCTAAGTCTCATTGTGCCTGATTGTCCAATTTTTCACTCGCCAGCGAAAAAAACATTAGAAGTGATGAATTGTATTTTTAGGAAACCTTCATCCAATGACAAGGTCGTTCTGGTACTCATTTGTGGCTGGTAATTC